ACGGATGGATACAGGAGCAGGGTTAGGATGGGGCTGGCTCAGCAGACAAGGGCAGGCAAAGGGAGCAGGAGCTGGAGCTGGGCCAGGTTGGGATCTTGCCCCAGGCAGGCGGTCCATGGGCAGGGCTGTGGCCCTGGGCTGCTCACCTGGCATGGCCTCTTCGCTCTCATTCCGCTCCTTGAGCTCCTCCAGCTTGGCGAGGCTGGACTGGGCCAGGGATGTGACACCGGGGGTCTGGGGCAGGCAGCAGGGAGGGGTCCTGGCCGCGGGTGAACTCTTGCACTCCAGCAGGAACTTGCGGTCGCAGATGATGCGGGTACCTGCCAAAAGCAGGGGGCTGTCAGGCACTGCTGGCCCGGCCACCCCCGCCCTGAGCCCCTCAGCCCAGAGCAGGGGTGGGACCCAGTGCTTGGCCACGGCTCATGGACACATCTGCCTCTGGAGCCACCATGTACAAGGCAGCCTGTGACACCCATCCTGCTCAGCAGCTATTCCCCACATTATTCCTCCCCTTCAGGCTCCTGGAGCTCTGCAGGATGCAGCATGAGGGGGTCCAGCCTCCCAAGGGCTACCCCATGGTGACAAACACAGTGCTTTGTGCCACAAAGCACTTGTGCCAGCACAGTGCCACCCCTGTGCTGCCTGGAGGGCAGGGCCAGTCCTGGGGCACAGAGATAGGCCTAGCCTGCTGGCTAGGCAGCAACAGCTTTGTGTGGTGCCCTGTTCCAGGGTGGAGCAGCAAGGGCTGGGTACCCCACAGTGGGCACCCTGGGGACCTGCTCCCATTGTCTCAGCCTGCCCCCTGCTGCTCTCTGCAGGAGGACAACAGCTGGGTTCCATGGGGCATCTCCTCCTCCAGCCTGCTGGGTGTGCAGTGTCCACCCGGGGCACACACTGCCTCCTCCCCATGCTCCAACTGCCTGCCAGCAACGCCTGAGATGGCACCAGCCTGTGTGCCACATCTGTGGCCCTGCTGTCCCCTGCCCATCCCTCCCTGCAGCCCAGCACCAGCTCCCTGCCAGGCTCTGGCAGTGGGTGCAGCCCAGGGTTCCAGGAGCCCAGAGCTGCTGCTGCCTGAGGTGCCAGTGAGGCCAAAGCTCCTGCTGGGCACTGCAAACATCTTATACAGCCCACACCAGCTGCTGCCCGAGGTGCCAGCCTGGAGCTCCTGCTGGGCCTGTAAACATCTTACACAGCCCACACCTGCCACAGCCCCACAGCACAGAGCTGGGCCAGAGCAGCTTAATTGAACACACAGAGCCAGTGCCCACAGGGCAGGCACCTGTGCCTCAGCCCAAACACGGGTCAGGAATGAGGCACATGCTTCCCTGAGGACAGACAGCAAAGGAAAGACCTGCTCAATGGCTGACCCAGGGGGTCAGAAGGGGGAAGGAGGACAGGTCTGGGGGAGCCCTGCCA